GCCCAATTCTTTGGTCGTCTCCTCATCCACAAAAGGAAAAGCGAGTCACTCTACTCCCTCAGAAAAAGAAGGGAAAAAGTTGGATTCGGTTGGTAGAAAATTCTACACTGTCGGTGCAATGGGCATTAAAACGGCGAACTATGCCGCCTGCATGGGCCGTTATCAATTCAATTTATGGAAGCGTTTGAATGATTTCCTCCCGCACGTGCCCAAAGAGTGCCAACCTCAGATTAAAAGGATTCAGAATGAAGGGATGGTCTTGGCTAGACACCAAATTAGTGCTGCCAAGCATTCCCTGGAATCCGCTAGTAAGACTCTAGCAACCTCTGTAGCGTTACGCAGACATGCCTGGCTCCGCTCTTCATCATTGCCATATGACACCAGATCCTCGGTGGAAGACCTTCCCTTTGAAGGTTCTGGATTGTTTAGCTCCACCACTGACACGGTTCTGCAGGAAATGGATAAGAGTATCAAGACGTCCAAGAGTTTGGGGATCTCCCCCACGACCAAATACTCGAAATCCAAGCAGTGGCCTAGGCAACCTTGGTCGACCAGGCAACCGTACAACAAATCACCTACGGATCAATGGCAAAGACCTCCCTCCTCTCAGTCACGGTCTTTTCCCCCGAAAAATAAGGGACAATCGTCCGGTGCCTATAAGTCGAAATTCCCTAAGAATCCCAAACAGGGACTTTGACTTCAACCTTACTGCTCAGACTCGCCTTGCACCCTTCCTGCACGCATGGCTCGCCATTTCTACGGACAAATGGGTGCACTCTATAATAAGAGATGGCTATCTCATAGAGTTTTCTCTGACTCCCAGAATCTCCCGTTTCATCAGAACCCCGGCGTCTCCTGCCCTGCTACAGGAGGTACAATCGCTGACACAAAAAAACGCTATAGAGAAAGTCCCGATGGCGGATTGTTGCCGCGGGATTTATTCCAAATATTTCACAGTCCCCAAGAAGGACGGAGGACTTCGTCCAATCATGGACCTCCGTTTTCTCAATCGGTTCATCATTTACAGAAAGTTTCGCATGACCACGTTGCAAAGCATTTTACCACTCCTGTCTCCAGGGACTTGGATGGTCACTTTAGATCTCAAAGACGCTTATTTTCACGTCTCCATCCATCCTCGTCACAGAAAGTTCCTCAGATTCGCAGTCGGGGAGGACCATTACCAATTCAAAGCCCTTCCATTCGGGCTCTCTACCGCCCCCAGGGTTTTTACGAAGGTAATGGTGGTTGTCGTCGCTCATCTTCGCCTTCAGGGCATTCAGATCTTTCCGTATATAGACGACTGGTTGATGGTGGCAGATTCAAGAGAATGTCTCCTTCAGCACATCACCATCACATTGTCGGTCCTATCCTCCCTTGGAATTCTGGTGAATTTACAGAAATCCATGCTGCAACCTGCAACTCGCGTGCAGTTCATAGGAGCTGTCATAGACTCCCTAGCCACTCGGGCGTACCTTCCTCGCCAACGGGCAGATACCATTCGTCTGGAAATTCAACGTTTGTTCCAGTCCAACGTGACATCAGCGGTCCACATTCAGCGGACCTTGGGTCTCATGGCAGCCACCACTTCCGTGATCGAATATGCACGCCTTCGCATGCGCCCGTTGCAGCTGTGGTTTCTAAAGAAATTTCGCCCTTCCATCCATCCTCCGAGCCTTCAACTGGTAGTGCCTCCGCAGGTCCTCGTCTCCCTGCAGTGGTGGCTCGTGGACACCAATCTGTTGGCGGGTGCACCGTTCCAACCGATCGTTCCCGTAATGTCCATCACCACAGATGCCTCCCTGTGGGGTTGGGGTGCTCATACAGACGACACTTGTGTGGGTGCTCCATGGCAACCCCTTTGGAAGAGTCATCATATCAACTATCTGGAACTGCTGGCCGTAAAGTTTGCCCTAAGATCCCTACTCAGACAGGTTGTAGGGAAGGATGTGTTGATTTTTACGGACAACACAACTGCGATGGCTTATATCAATCGCCAGGGCGGGACCGTGTCCAGGTCCCTTTGCAGGCTAGCTATGGACATATGGGAAGAGTGCCTTCATTGGAACATCACTCTCCAAGCTGCCCATCTGCCAGGAACTTTGAACCAACAAGCGGATTTCCTGAGCAGAGGGGGAGCATCGGACCACGAATGGGAGTTGAACTCAAAGTATCTCCTTCCTCTTTTTCAACATCTGGGACATCCCCACATCGATGTTTTTGCAACTCGATTGAACAAGAAGTGTCCCAGGTTTTGCTCCAGAGCGGGGTTGGACCCTCTGTCAATGGGGGACGGTCTGTTGATGTCGTGGGCTCACGACTTTCTATACCTATTTCCTCCGATTCCGCTGCTCCACAGGGTGCTTGTGAAAATACAACAGGACAAGCCCCATTGTCTCCTGGTAGCCCCCTGGTGGCCTCGGCAGGTGTGGTTTCCGACACTGCTGCGGTTAGCCAAGGGATCCTTCGTACACTTCCCGCAGGAGTTGGATCTCCTCCAAGCTCAGGAAGGCCAGGTCCTTCACTACGATCCTCTGAGTCTCAAGTTGACTCTATGGGAAATACGCTTTCAGTGATGGATGACCGTATCAATGAGGTCCTGTTGAATTGTCGTAAACTGTCTACTAGGACGTCTTACGCAAAGAAGTGGGATTTATTCCTACAGTACTTGAGTTCTTCCAATTTACCTCCTCCGCCAGTGGATTTGAGGTCTATTTTTGCGTTTATTTTGTCCAGAATGGACTTGGGACTCAGTTTTTCTTCAGTTAAGGTGTATTTAGCTGCGGTGTCAGCTTTTCATCCATCTATTGATGGGTTTTCAGTTTTCTCGCATCCTCAGACGAAACAGTTTTGTAAAGGTCTTATTCGCCTGTACCCTCCCCGTCGTTCTCCGACTCCGGCCTGGGATTTGGCTTTAGTTTTGCGGTTTTTGATGGGAAAACCCTTCGAACCACTGGCCACTTGCTCTCTAAAGTTGTTATCGCTCAAGACTGCGTTTCTGGTGGCCATTACTTCTGCTCGTCGAGTCAGTGAGTTGTCCGCTTTAAGGTGTGATCCACCATACTTGATTTTTTCCCCTCATGGGGTGTCGTTGTCTTTGGACATCTCCTTCTTACCGAAAGTCGTTTCGGAGTTTCATCTACGTTCAGATATAGTTTTGCCGTCATTTTTCCCGTCTCCTGCCAATGAAGAGGAACGGAAATTGCACTCTCTGGATGTTAAGAGGGCGTTGCTGTTCTATTTGGGCAGGACCAAGTCTTTTCGTCAGTCTCCTGCCTTGTTTGTTGCTCACAGTATGCCCTCCCTGGGGAAGAAGATCTCTTCCCAGACGCTGTCCAGGTGGATTGTGGAAGTAATCAAGCTATGTTACGCTTTGGCTAAGAGACCTCTTCCAGGTCAACTTCGCGCCCACTCTACAAGGGCGGTGGCGGCTTCCACAGCTTTCCTGAGAGGGATGCCATTGGAGGACATCTGCAACGCTGCGACTTGGGCTACTCCGCTCACCTTCGTGAAGCATTATGCCCTTGATGTCCGGTCTACTCGTCGTGTGGCGTTGGGTCGGTCTATCTTGCAGACGGCGCAGGTGTAGGGCCTCGGCCCCTCCTCCAGGTAAGAGTTATTGCTTGCTATTCTCCCAAGGGTGTGATGCACAGAGACCACGAAGAAGATAGACAGGTTGCTTACCTGTAACTGGTGATCTTCGAGTGGTCATCTGTGCATTCACACCACCCGCCCTCCTTCCCCTCTGCTCTCGGCCCTTCATCTTGTTTCTTTGAAGGCTGTTGGGCGGCGGTCAGAAGGAACTGGCGGGATCTGCGTGCCCCTCCTTGGTCATGCGCAGTGGAGCCGGCGCGTGACCTGGGAGAGGCGCGAAAATCCCTTTTGCTAGCTATCGGTACCGAGAAGGTCAGCGCAGGCGCAGAGTATCCCAAGGGTGTGAATGCACAGATGACCACTCGAAGATCACCAGTTACAGGTAAGCAACCTGTCTTTTCCACATAAGAGGCTGGATAACATTCAGTCCTAGAGACAACCATCCAAGAATTCTTTGGAGTAGCCATATTTCCTCCATTTGACTTCTCTGCCATACAGTTTTGGGGAGGCAAGCAAGGCATTTGTAATCACTAGTTAAATCTCTGACCTAGTGCCTGTTAAGCCTTTTGCTGAGAGATTTTCTTCACCCTACCCAGGTTGACCCTGTAGAAGAAAACTGATTTCAAGGAGGTAGGGTCATCAGCCCATGCTTGCCTCCTATTCAAGAGGGATGTCACTAATTGGAGAAACTGGAGACTGGCAAGTTGACTCTTCCTGACACGCTCTGCAGCTTTGTGCATGGGGAGGAATCCCTTAATTATGCTCCTTTCCTCAGGTTTGCTGAGATAACTTCTCCCTCTCCCCCATTCCACATCCCTACTTTAGGATTGTAAATACTGAACCAGTTGTAAGCTGGTTGTCATCTCATAAATAGGAGCTGTCTTTTCACCGTGAGCTTAAGTTTATTCAGCCTCAAATGTCTTCTTTAAAACTTCTGTAATATCACAGAATAGAAGGTAAAATGCCCTTCCAGCTAGCTGGGGAAGGGCATATAGTAGAGGATCAGCTGAGACCAAGTTATATTTAAGTGCTACAAAACATTAGAAACTCAAAGGATGGCATTAAAGATTACTTCAGTAAGAAATTTCCTAGCTAGTTGTTCCAGGTATTTTGGGGTGCCTGCAAGAACTGTGGCTCACAGTTTGTGCCCATGGGCAAAACATATTTAAGATTATTCTATCAAAGAGTATTATAGAGGGAAGGATGTGTGTGACAGAGCTGAAGCAGAAATTGGGCGGTTATTTTTCCACACTTCAGTTTCAAGGAGGCACTCATCAGGCTACTGTGCCACAAATTTATTCGCACCCAGAATGAAGCTTGCTGCAAAGATTTATCCGATTACCAAGTACACAGAGGTGGTGGTTGAAGGATGGTAAATTGCCTGCATAAGTCAATGTGTGTCTGTTTAGGTGTGGTGACAGAAGATTGTGGACAAAGATTGATTTGAGCAGGTACAAGTCCATCACACCCTTGGCTCTAGGGGGTATCATCAGGAGGCAGCCAGTCAGCCTTGACCTCAGCTGGACCAATATTTCCAGAAAACAGCTCACCTGGCTCATTGCCAGGCTACCAGGTATGCAAGTTTCATAGTGCTGATGGGATCTTTCCACCCTTGTTTCAGTTTAAAGGTCTAGAGCAGAGGTGGCCAAACTGTGGCTCGGGAGCCACATGCGGCTCTTTCACACATATTGTGCGGCTCCCAGAAGGGCAGCTGGGGAAGCAAACAAATATCATTGGACAAATAAATATCAGTATCTGTTTTTACCCCTTTTGTTTTTATTTTTGGCAGTCTCATTTATAATGTTAATAAAAAGCAAATTTGCATATTTTAAAAAATAAAAACCAGTGTAATATTTGTTCATGTCTTGTGGCTCTCAAACATTTATTTATTTATTTATTTAATTCAATTTATACCCCGCCCTCCCCGCAATGCGGGCTCAGGGCGGCATACATAGGGGCAAACGCCAATATAAAACATAATTAAAACCATTTAAAACATCTGACATTGATTCTGTGTGGCTCTTACGTCAAGCAAGTTTGGCCACCCCTGGTCTAGAGCTAAATTTGTGGTGTTTTTGGTCACTAAGGCTATTGCTTCTATATAGAATTATGAGTTCTGTAAGATTGTATCCCTCTGTGTTTTATGGAGATAAATCGATAGATTGCAGTGACAGGCTCTTGACTTTAGTCAGATTCTGCCAAATAGAAATGTGTCCTGTGACGTGAGCACAGAATTTAACATTCAAAACCAGCATTTCCCGGGCTTCTGCTTCCCATCCTCCTCGTAGCTAGCAATATGGGGCTCAATATACAATACTGATTGTGTTTGCTTGGCAGTGGACTGGGGAGGAAATTCACCAAAGTAAGTTGTGGAAAGGAATTGTTCTAAAGTTCAAAAATTCTGACATTCTTCCCCTTTCCATCTGTCCCTGGCAGGCCTCAAAGACCTCATCTTAGCAGGCTGCTCCTGGTCAGCAGTCTCTGCTCTTAGTACCTCCACCTGCCCCCTTCTCAGGACTCTCGATCTTCGGTGGGCAGTAGGAATCAAGGATCCACAGATTCGGGACTTGCTCACACCTCCATCAGATAAACCAAGTATGCCTTCCTTCTAGAAACATTGAAATATGTGTTTGCTGTTTAAGGAAAGGGCAACAGAGTTTACATGTGAGAAATATAGGTTGCACTCCATAGCATGTTATATGTGCATATTCACTCTAGATGATGAGACTCTTCTTCTTTTCAGTATTCTTACATTTGTCTGTGCAGGTCAAGACAATCGCAGCAAACTCCGTAATATGATAGACTTCCGGTTGGCTGGGCTGGACATTACTGATGCCACACTCCGGCTTATCATCCGTCACATGCCTCTCCTATCACGACTTGATCTTAGTCACTGCAATCACCTTACAGACCAGTCAACAAACCTGTTAACAGCTGTGGGGTCTTCCACACGAAACTCACTCACTGAAATCAACATGGCAGGTGTGTGCAGTTGGATGTTTTCTAGCTGCTTTCTGGTCATTCTTCCCTGTCATATAAGAACTAATGATGGTGCACAGGCTCCATGACATCTTTCTTTTCTGGGGTTTCTGTCACTGGTGAAAAGAGAGGATTGCAACTTAACTGAACTTTGCACCCCAGTCCCTAAAGATAAGCAAAGAATTTTAAACCAGTAGCCAAATAACTGTAGAGGGGATCTCTGGCAACTTTTGCACATGTTGTGTTCATTGAAAGTCTGCTGATCACTCGTCTGCTTCTCAGGTTCAGATATACCATTACCATTGTCTTTTTTCATAAGCATTTGGAGTGGCATGCTTTATTTGTATTAGGTTTGTGATGGACGCATTAAGAGTGCTGTTTCATCCCTATATTCAAAATGGGATGACTGCAAATGAAATAGCAGCCTTAAGGAAGAAATCCTGTTTCATCTTTTCCCCCCCCCTAAAAAAAGAAGTGGCCATGAAGGACCTCAGCTTTATAGTTACTCATGACTTCTTGCGTGTGTCAGTCCAAAAGTCAGACTTGCCCTGTTCCATAACAGCCAGTCAGTGCTGCCAACTTCCCTTCCCTTGTATCAGCTTGGAAGGCACTGTGTTTTGGAGCACACGCTGAAAGGCTGAAGAAGCCTGACAAGGAACTATATTGATTCTCCAGCCATTTAACGAAGTTTCCCACTCTGGCCCTTGGGTGCAGGGCTTTTTCTTGGAGAACTAAATGGGTACAAGTTTGCTTGTTTAAAATCCTTTGACCATCACAAGAAGTCACTGAATATTGCATCTCTTTGACACTTATCTGAAGTATTTGTGGTTGTGTACTCATACCTCTCTGGAAGTGGAGAATGGGAATTATGTAAATCATAATAATGTCTTCCTCTCTACAGGCTGCAATAAGCTCACGGACCAGACCCTGCTGTATCTGCGGCGCATCTCAAATGTCACCCTGATAGACCTGCGAGGCTGCAAGCAGATCACCCGCAAGGCCTGCGAGCACTTCATCTCAGACCTGTCAATCAACAGCCTCTACTGCCTGTCTGATGAAAAGCTGATCCAGAAAATCAGCTAGAGATTTACCACAGACAGACTGAAGAGAAGGAAGGATTCCAGACAAGTCCCTCTTGGAGAGCAGACCCTCCCCCAGTTCCCCCCATCTCCACAGGCATTGGAAGAGGCCAGCCTGTTTGTGACTGCACTGCCCCTCCTCCACTCGGGACTTCTGCAGACCAGAAATCCCACCAGGCAGATTAGCATTTGAAGAATGGCAGCTAGAGATTGCCGTATGGGTGCTCTCGTTGGGGTACTTGCTCGGCAGCTACGTTCTCTGATGATTTGTAGCAACGTTTTCAGGGGGAAGGTGCTACTTCCTCTCATCTCTATCCTGCACCTCTCCCATAAATTCCACAAAAACAGATTTCACTTCCTCATCACATTATGGGGAAATCAGACATGGATGGTGTAGAACAGGTACACTTCTGTTCCCTGTTCCCCTCAATTTCATCCATGATTGTCAATTGTTGTTAGGCTGGGAGTAACTTCTCTTGCCACACTCTGCTAAGCTTCCTTTTCTTGCCCTTCAGCAACTGGATGGGCAGCTACTGCTTTGTGCTGATTACTCAAAGGCTGTGATGCCCACAGTAGCAGTGTCTTTATGTCATGAAGGGATCTCCATGTGGCCTTGGGTTAGCCTGCAGGCACCTTCCAACGTCAGGCTAGTGAGGGGGTGGCTAAGCTTCCACATGGAGGTAGCCATGTCCTTGTCCTAGACTTTCCCAAGCGGGAGGGTCAAGCAGGCGTGTCCTGTCTTTCCTACTCCGAAAAGGTGACAGTGTTTGCAGAGGGAAAGCTGCAGCAGAGCTTGAAGGCTTGAGAGGCATCTAGTGGGATTTCTCACACGAGTGGAAGTGGCCTCTGCTTGCCCCACGTTCTACAGTCTGCTAGAACAAGCACTCTTGGAAATGCTGGCTGGCTGAAGACATGCCTACATCTTGGGGTGCACAGCTGTTGGCGCTTGAGCTGGGAGACGGGTGAATGCCCCCATTAGCTGCCTCTCTTCCTTTGCAATGAATGGCTGGTCCAAAGAACTTCTCTCTTGGGCAGCAGAGAGCTTTTTGCACTTTAGAAAGAAAGGTAATATTTTGGATCCCTATTTTATTTCCCCCTGCCTGAGTGACTGGACACTCCTTCCAGCTGTCTGAACTTGTCAGGGTTTGAATGCACACTTTGCACTCTGCTCTCTTCCCCATAGTGATAGCACAAATTAGACTGCCCTTCACCTCTGCCTCCCCCTCTGAACCTCGCGTGGGAGAAAAGAGCTCTCCAGGGTCCACGCAGCAAGGGAAAGGAAGAGAGCAGTGATAGAATCAGAGAAACCCAATGATGCACCCTTGCTGCTGTTGAAGCAATAAGGGAGGGGGAGGAATCCACCCTATAGCTCTCCAGATTGCTCTGCCTGATGGAGCCTCAGGGAAGAGCACCTTGCCCTGTACTGTTGGGGATGGGGTGGGGGGATGTATATTTAGATCTACTGAAACCCAGAGGTTCCCCCTCACTCCCATACAAGGAGCAGGCTTCTTTGCTGAGAGGACAGTGCTAGTGTGATAAGTTCCAGAGTGCCTCAGTACACAGGAGCTTTGCTGCAAATAGAATTTTTCTGCAAAAATGCCCACTAGAAACTTTCTGCCTTGTTGTATTGGCTCCTGTGGAAAAAATATTGTAGACTCAATCTCTTGGGTTTTTAGGGTTTGTTTTTTTTGTTTGTTTTAAAGGAGGAAGGTGAGAATAGCCATAAATAGGAGATTCAAATGCATCTGCCCAGATAACTCCCATCTTGGAGATTTCTAGGCTCTGGGTATTTTGCATGTTTTGTTTGTATTCCAAAAGTGGGAGCACTTTCACAACTCTCCATATGCATTGGTCAACCTGAGGAGTGCTGAACTGCAGCTAATTGGCATGTCAGGAGCATTAGTCTGGGAGGAATCTTGTCCTGCAGCAAAGGGGATGAAACAAGCAGAAGACTGGGGAGGGTAGAATTGTGCTTTAGATTTTGCTGTCCTTCAGCCTTCTCAAATGTGGCCCTCAAATGACTGTGGCTTAAGAGACTCGGAAGCAAAAATGGTGAAGTGTCATTGCCTAAACTGGCCACCACCTCAGAGGGCAAGTGGTGACATAAAAGAAAGAGAAATTATATATGAAAATCACTTAGTGATTTTTTAAAAATCCTGCTCCCTAAATAAAACTCCCTAAAGAAAGTTGCTATTGTTTAAAAAGGTTTGGTTGTTCCTTGTGTTTTTTTGAAGAAATTGTAAATATATATTTTGTTGCTAACTTAGAGTCAATCTCCAATGTTGTGCTTTAAAATTAAATGTAAGCATTAAGGGTAAAAAAAACCTCAAGTCTTGCGCTCTCTCGGTTGACATGTTTAGGGTTGGGTGATACTTGGGGCTAAAGGGAGGGGAGCTAGCTGGGTCTTTCATTTTCTAATCATTTGCCAATAATGGTTTTAGAGAATCTTTCCTCAAACATATTACCACAGAAGTGAGACAAGTGGATGGGGGAAGAAGAAAAGATACCAGCCTCTGAAGGGAAACTTTGTTTCATGGGGTGGATTTTGGAATAAAAATTTCAAGAAAAAAATTGTGGTTCTGCATATTGATTATTCCATGAGCTTAAATCCAGGGGCAGTTCAGCCTGAAAGGGGGAGGGGAGAAGACTAGTACTCAAATGTAGCTTCCTGCCATCAGGTTGTCTGCCTATATCCAGCCTTTCTAGATAGCATGCCATTAAATTTTCATATTCACACAATCTGAATTGTGTGCCCAGAAAAGCTGCTAGATTCTGCATCATGTGTATAGTATAAAAATTTGTGTAACTTCTTGCATAATTTTGTAGTTTTCACCGTTAGATATTTCTTTTGTGGAAGGGGAGAGTGAGTTAAAATAGCACTTCAAACACCTAACTATAAATTCTAGGGACTTGTTTCAAAATGGAACTTGAGGTTATTAGGAAACTGAATTCTGCATCCAAAGCCACATCCTGGATTCCTGTGGAATTGCACTGTGCATACGACTTATGCCTATATGGCAAAGAACCACAGCTAACAGCCTCTGGACCAAAAACCTATAGCTATAGGCCCTTGTAAAGCTTGCTTGCTCCTGGATAGGAGTTTTTAACTGAACAATTTGTTTTGAATCCAGTTGTTTGAGGTCTTGAGAGGACTCTAAAGTACTAGATGCAAGAAGAGTCTCAGTAGTCATGTAACTCAAAGTTCTGAAGCCTTTAGGAATTCTGATCCTAGGCTGCCTAAGGTGAAAGGTGCTGCTTTATTTTTCACTGCATTCACTAACTTGCTTCATAGGCAGTAATGGTTGAAGTGCTTCACAAGTTGGAGGCCCAGCCACCTTTAGAATAAGGTTCCATCCTTTTCAGTCTGTTATCCTGTCAGGAGGATGGACAAAGTATGAACCTCTTACCCCAATGACAATTGTTTTGTCTTCATCCCCTAATTCTTCTCTCCTTTCCCAGCTAAAGCCAAACAAGTGTGAATATTTTCTCAAAATGTGTTGCTATTCTGGAAGCCATGGTTTAGTTTGGTATGCTTCACATATAAGTACCTCTTTTAATCTAGGCCCATTTGTAATATGATAAGGATGGGTACACTGAGATACGCCCTTCACTACTAATCTGTTGCTCTTCTAGTTATCTTCAGGTTTGCACTTGAATTTTCACCCAGGCTTTTGGGTTCACATAGTGCAGAGGTAGCTTTTTTTAGGCCAGTGTACTTCCGTTTCCATGGTTGTTAGACCTGATTTTCAAAACATGATGAAACCCATCAAGAAAAACTTGGCACTTTTGATATTTGCTGTGTTTTCTCCTGTCCAGATCTGTATCTGTGTTGACAGCAAGGCTTCTGTGTCAACAAGGCAGTAGTCTAGTAAAGGCTTTATAAAAACTGCTGATAAATCCAGGCTCTGAAGATCAGAGTCCTAAATGGAGGGGAGAACAGCTAATTGATATGGTTTATTGAAGAGCACACACAGATTTGTCCAGCACACTTCGAGGATGCCCTGACCCAGCCATCAGCAGTAGAAATGCAACGTGAAATATACTGACCTATAAGGAAACACAAGTATCATGTGAGCCCTTGTTCTCTTCAGATCTGTGAAAAAGCATTACATTTCTCATCCTGTGTGTCAGAACATCAAAGCCAGCTGAAGATGCTTTACTCTCAATGTATAGTTTACAAAGTTCCCTTAGTGGTTGCATACTTTTAAGAATTCTCTTCAGTGTCACACTTCTGTTTGTCTCTTCCTGTTCCAGTTAAACCCCACTTCCCCTTTAACAGTAACTAAGCTGTTCTTTCTGTTGCCCTACCTTCCTCCTAAAGCCTCAGCACTGTCTGTTGCCACCATTTGACTTAAAGCATTTAACATCTGGGTGATATTCATTATTAGATTCCTCCTCCCTGAAGAGGAAGTGCTGTCTGCTGAGTTTGTTCATAATCTCTGTATTCAGTGGTCTTTAAACATTCCCTTAGAGGTCAGTTTGCTAAACTCAAATGTGGTGTTTCCAAGTATGGATACATTGATTTTAAAACTATGCTTTTCTTCTTTTTTTGGCGAACGTCATTGGTCAACATATGGGGTTTTGGAATACCACCCTGGCAGATATAAGTGACTGATTTTAATGAAGGCTTTTGTTGGAAACTTGCAGAAGATTGCTGATTTTCTGTGTTTTTGTAATTTTGTGTGTTTGTGTGTGCAACAGAATCTAGTACATAACGCAATGTGGAGGATATAATTGCAAGCTTGCTGCTTCTGAGACTGCTGTTTTGATTTTAAAAACTCAAAATTTCAGTGACTAGGTAAAATCCTCAGACAACATGTAATTCTGATCAGCTTGCAGAATTTGGCTAATGTGAATTTTGGCCTGCAGTAAATAAAAAGATCTTCATCGTGGTCTCTGTGCAGTCCCACACATAGGTTGGGTGCCTGCGCATGACCTTGACCGGAGAACATTCCAGAGCTTGCCTCAGGAGTCTTTTTGGTGGGCTCCCTTCCCACCCTGGGGAGCACAAATGCACTGTGCATGCCTGGAGCAGGGGAGAGAGCCGCCTCCCACTCAGTTCTTTGACTGCCTTCGCTAGCATCGCTCTTCAAATTGCCTTAGCTGAGTATTTCTCTCCTAGTTTCGTCTTCTTATTCTTCTCATTTCTCCTTATTCCTTCTTATTCTCCTGGGGGAAAAAATCTTTACTATTTTTCCTCAATTTTGTTTCTATCCATCCTCCCCCCCCCCCCCCGCCCGGGGGGGGGTTGTCTGAGTGC